CCCCCCCCCCCCCCGTCATTTTTTTCACTGCCCACTGCCTGTGCCCCTGCAGAGATTTGCCTTCATTTCCTGTCCTAGACACACAACAGGAAGTGAGAGGACACATCTCCAAAGTCAGGGGGAAATTCCTATGCACCTTGACTCCATCTAGTGGCAGGAATGCCACGCAAACAGCATATGTCGGGGGCAGAAGAGTTCTGAATGGACCCCATTGTGTGTTGCTCGTGTGCTGTCCGGCATGTTTGGTAAAGCAGTTGGGTACATGCAGTAGAGATGTGGACCCTGTATACAGGATATCCTGTCACTATGCCTTTGCCGTTGATGAGTCTGTGAAGCCGGGCTCCGTTATTTCATACAGCTGACCCCCGGAAGTCATAACAGCCTATAGGCTGCAAGGGCAGAGAACCCCTTTAACTCAATGCAGCCAATCAGATTGCTACATTCTAAAAGATAACTGGATCCTGGTTACTATGTTACTATGTTACTGATTTTATTCTCTATATCAGTGTTCCCCAACCCCCTGTCCGCGGACCGGTACCGGTCCGCGGATCAAATGGTACCGGGCCGTTCTATCTGTTCTATCACAGTTTGAGACTACGTTAGAATGTGTGACCAGTGACGTGGTCACACATTTTAACGTAATCTCGCCCAGTTTTTCGGTGGTGGAATAGGTGAAGAATTCCAACGCTTTCATTTTTTGGTGTAACTGTATTTTATTTTGAAGGCATGTTTAAATACAATTAAATTAAAATTATTAAATCAAAACAATCTAAAATATAAACAATCAACGTCCCCCCCTCAGAGGGCCACGGTAAAATTATCAAACGTTGACCGGTCCGCGGCGATAAAAAGGTTGGGGAGCACTGGTCTATATGAGAGAAATATATATGCGGGGTGCCGTTACATTGACATGACTTTAGAAACGCTGGTTGCCTGGCTGTCTTTTGCCTTCATCACCTTTTAGGCCTCATTCACACACAACGCAAGAGCAAAATTGTATATTGCGTATATGTGCGTGCAATCCCAGAATGCATCATTCCTAAAAGAATCTTAATGAACTGTACGCACGTATAATACGCAGAAATACGCTGCCTGTTTTTGCGCATTTTTACGCTACGCAAATATACGGCTGTGTGTATGGAGCCATTTATTTGCATGTGGTACAATACGCACGTACGCGCGGCAGTGTGAATGAGGCCTTGAAGTCCCTGACCTTGAACAAGCAAGCTGCAAGTGAAATCAGAGCTCCAAGGTCTATAGATTTCTTCCATGGCAGTAACCGAGGAAGCATTGAAGCCAAAGGCTCACCACGACAAGCCAGGAAAAGGGGGACTATCATTGGTAGTCCTGTGCTTATCTCAGACAGGTTCTCTTTATATAAGCTCACATTGGCATTGTTGCAATGGTCATCTAACGCTGAAGGCTCCGTCATGTTTCATGCTCTTGCAGATCGGGTTTGTGCTGTATCCGCCCGGAGGAGGGGCCGAGTGGGACCAGAAGGATCACGATAATGTGATGTTCATTACCATGTGCTTCTGCTGGCATTACGCCGTCGCTTTGATGATCATGGCCGGCAACTATTCCCTGGTCTACTGGTAAGTAATGGTGAAGGGACCGGGGATCCAGTTGGGGCCGGGGGCCTTGTGTGCCAGCACTGTGTGCTCCCCCTACTGGCAGAGTTCCATTATGTTTGGAGACAGTAGGGCTTGGGTAAAGGAGCAATCAGCCCCCAAGGGCCACCATTATCTGTGTGGTGTCCGGCATGGAAATGCCTTTCCCTTATTAGGTCAATCCGGCTGTGATCGCCTATGCAGGGCCGGTGCTACCACTAGGCAAACTAGGCAGCCGCCTAGGGCCCACTGCTGCCTAAATCACTCCCCACCCCCAACGGTGCCTGCGCCACCGTCTGTTTCAGATTCCCCGCTCACTGAGCTGAGGAGCCAACAGAGGCAACTTTCTCTCTCAGGTCCGCTCCTCTGCTCAGTGGGCGGGGTTTCAGCAGTCAGTCTGCTATTGGCTATTTCAAATTAAATTACATCCACCTGTCGCCTGCAGGAGATTTGTGCCACACGGGGGGTGGGGGGGGATTGGCTGTTGGCTATGGGAGGGGTGCTTAGGGGTGCAGGTGCCTCGTCTTGCCAAGGGCGCAAAATAGTCTAGCACCGGCCCTGCGCCTATGTAACCGTTTCATCCATATCGCCGGTCTATAGAAATCATCATTAAGCTGCAGAATTCCCCCAAGAGAAACCGCTCCAGCCATACCTATCCTTGCCATTGGCCACCATCGTGGCTGCTTTCATTGAATTCTCCCCATAATCCCATGTTGCTGCAAAAACAGCGATCACATGACACCGCTGGAGGCGTATTAAGCTGCTCAGTCATCATGGCTGACATTCTTCCCTATAACCCCCGTCCTGCCTGCAATCTGCATATAAACATTCCTCAGCATGACGCCCCCGTGCTGAGGATACAATAAAAAACATTCTCCCCTTTCACAGCCACCAGCTGACATTGATTGCAGAGCCCTGTAGTGGTCAGTGTGCCTCTGTTTAATACTGTAATTGCCTGACACAACTTAGTATTAAAATAAAATCATCATTATTATAATTATTGTACAGGATGTATATAGCGCCAACAGTTTGCTCAGCGCTTTACAATATAATTATACAGTGTGTGTGCGTGTGTATATATATATATATATATACAGGTGAAACTCGAATAATTAGAATATCGTGCAAAAGTAATGGCAGTAAGTGCTGCAAAAGGGGCCCAAACCAAGTACTGAGTACATATGCACGCTTGTACTTTTCAGAGGTCCGATATTGTTCTATGTACATTCCGTGTTTTATTGATTGCATGTAATAATCTACTTTTTTGAGGTTGTGGATTTGGGGTTCTTGGGGTTTTCATGAGCTGTAAGCCATAATCATCACAATGATGACAAATCACGGCTTGAACTATCTTGCTTTGCATGTAATGAGTCTCTCTCATATATTAGTTTCACCGCATAAGTTGCATTAGTGAAATAAATGAACTTTGCACGATATTCTAATTATTCGAGTTTCACCTGTATATATATTTAGATTGTAATTATGGGCAGGGCACTCCTCACCATCTTGTCTTGACTTGTATTGTAACTGTAATGTCCTCCTTATATTGTAAATCTTGTATAAAAAGCAGAGTGAGATTGTATCAAATGAAATAATTACTGAATATGTCTTTATAACAAAAAGCAAAAAGTTATAGTTATTGTCTGCTTATATTTTGCATTTCACTGCCCACCACCATCCCTGCCCCCCATCCCTGCCCCCCATCCCTGCCCCCCAAAAAACATGCTAATGACATTCCTGAAAACCTTTCCACTTTCATTACATTCCTTATTTTAGAGCCAGTGACATCATCACTCGGTCTCTGTGCTGCTCTATGCAATGCAGACATTATTATTATTATACAGGATTTATATGGCGCCAACAGTTTGCGCAGCGCTGTACAATATAAGGAAGAGATTACAATCACAAGACAATTCAAGACAAGATGGTAAGGAGGGCCCTGCCCCTGAGGGCTCACTATCTAAAAGGGGAGGGGCCAGTGATACGTGAGGAGGTAGCTGTGTGGGGATGAATGGTTGAGCGGTCGGGTTGAGGTGGGATAGGTTTCCCTGAAAAGATGAGTCTTAAGGGATCGCCTAAAGGCAGTAAGAGATAGGAGATAGTCGGACAGGTTGAGGTAGAGAGTTCCATAGGATGGGAGAGACTCTAGAGAAGTCCTGGAGGCGAGCATGTGAGGAGTTGATGAAGGAGCTGGAAAGAAGGAGGTCTTGGGAGGAGCGGAGGGGACGGGAAGGGTGAAACTTTGAGACAAGGTTGGAGATATAGCCGGGGGCGGAGTTGTGGATGGCTTTGTAAGCGGTTGTTAATATTTTGAATTGTATCCTTTGGGCTACTGGAAGCCAGTGCTGGGATTGGCAGAGGGGGGTGGGGAATGGAAGCCAGTGGAGGGATTGACAGAGGGAGGTTGCAGACACTGAGCGGTTGGTTAGGTGAATGAGTCTGGCAGCTGCATTCATGATAGACTGAAGGGTGAGGAGCCTGTGTAGAGTTCGGCCAATGAGGAGGGAGTGGCAATAGTCAAGACGAGATATAACAAGGGAGTGGATGAGTAATTTTGTGGTAGGTATATCATATCTGGTGGGAGGGGCCGGCTGGGTGCTGCACATAGCTTCCTGGAAATATTATATTTGAGATATCATGTAGAGTTCTATAAATGAGATTTCTCCATCCTCACACCTGAAGGTTGGAGTTGGGTTGGTGGAGTTGGGTTGGTGTGGTTGGGTTGGTGGGGTTGGTGGAGTTCGGTTGGTGGGGTCGAGTTGGTGTGGTCGGGTTGCCGGGGTCGGGTTGGCGGAGTAGGGTTGGTGGAGTTGGGTTTGTGGGGTTGGTGGAATTGGGGTTGGCGGGGTTGGGTTGGCAGGGTTGGGTTGGCGGGGAGGGTTGGGTTGGTGGGGTTGGGTTGGTGGAGTTGGGTTGGTGGGGTGGGGTTGGTGGAGTTGGGTTGGTGGGGTTGGGTTGGTGGGGTTGGGTTGGTGGAGTTGGGTTGGTGGAGTTGGGTTGGTGGGGTGGGGTTGGTGGAGTTGGGTTGGTGGGGGTTGGGTTGTGGAGTTGGTGTTATTGGCCTTATAAAAGGATAAATCACAATATTTGTGTTTGTACCTCATTGTGACTTTGTTTCCCGTCTCAGCTGCTTGCGGAAGAGTAAAAGGCTCTCTGGCGACGGGAATATCGGCATTCACAAGTTGGTTTCTAACAACACGGAGGCCAAGACATCGCTGCTCGCTGCATCGGACGAGGAATGAGCTCGGAGCCGCCACGTCCAGGGAAAGACTCTCCGCCAAACTTCTAAAAAACCGTCATCGGTGATGAAGGAAGTATTAGCACAACCAGCACTGCACAGCTCTGTATTGTACATTCCACTCCGGGACGTTCCCCAATTCCTCCCAAACTGCGCCCTCGTGCAGACACTGGATACCAGGAACCAATCAACGCTCTGCGCTCAGGGATGGCAACTCCATACAAGTTCGCCACTCACAAAAACGGTTTCTCCGATACAAACATTGCACTAAGCCGCTCATAATGTTTTATAACCGTATCACTGATGGTGAAAAGATTTTTATTTTTTGTTTTGATGGAAAAAAAAAAACATAAAAAGGAGCAAAATTAATCTGAAAGACGAGCGCATTGTATGTATGTATGTATGTATGTATGTATGATTGATCAGTACTGAGACTGACCACAGGGGGGCAGTGTGCCATAAGCCCAGCCAGAGGACAGGACAGATGATAAGAGGAGATGTTCATACATTTAACCCCTTCATGACTGAGCTTGTTTTTAGTTTCTGTTCGTAAATGACTGGACACACTTTTGACATTGTTGCTGTGTGATTCTTCCACGTCAGTAATATACTTTCTTACAAAGTGCACCCACACCCCCCCCCTCATAGTTCTCCTTTAAGTGTATTCTATTAACAAGCTTTCCTAGTTCAGATAGTATTTGTAAAAGGTTGACAGAGGTGCTATGGCAGTATAGTAATTCATGATGTGGGTATGAAATGCAATCATAGTATATGGCAATAAAACTTTAAAATTGTAAACTAATACTCTATATGAAGTACTCACTATAGTACACACACTATTTAGTTTACAATCACGATCCATAGATAGTAACATGATCCATCCGATTCCAAACATGATTTGAACACAGGCCCTTACTTGGTGGTGCCTGTGCAATGGGGGTGCCTCACGAGCTTCCGATAGCTTTTTTTCCTCTCATGTGAGGGCGACGTCGGCGGCGCTGAGCGGCAGAGCGTCGCGTCACTGCTGTGGGCGGAGCTCCAGGTCGCCGGCCAACTACATTAGACCCCACCTGGAGCTCCACCCACAGCAGTGACGTGATTTGACAAGTACAAGTTAGTATCGGTATCGGGACGGTATCGGCACATCCCTAGTTCAGTCCCTTCCTGTTCTTGGACAATCTACATCATTCCATGGTGATTGGATGAAGGTGTCTGTACAGTGTGGTTATTAATGCTGGGTATGTTCCTGGTTTGGTGGGGGTATAAATGTTGGGGGCTGTTCCTGGTATGGTGGGGGGATAAATGTTGGGGGAGGTTCCTGGTGTATGGTGGGGGTGGGGTATGTTCCTGATATGGGGGGGGGTATAAAGGTTGGGGGATGTTCCTGATATGGGGGGGGGTATAAAGGTTGGGGGATGTTCCTGATATGGGGGGGGGTATAAAGGTTGGGGGATGTTCCTGATATGGGGGGGGGTATAAAGGTTGGGGGATGTTCCTGATATGGGGGGGGGTATAAAGGTTGGGGGATGTTCCTGATATGGGGGGGGGTATAAAGGTTGGGGGATGTTCCTGATATGGGGGGGGGTATAAAGGTTGGGGGATGTTCCTGATATGGGGGGGGGTATAAAGGTTGGGGGATGTTCCTGATATGGGGGGGGGTATAAAGGTTGGGGGATGTTCCTGATATGGGGGGGGGTATAAAGGTTGGGGGATGTTCCTGATATGGGGGGGGGTATAAAGGTTGGGGGATGTTCCTGATATGGGGGGGGGTATAAAGGTTGGGGGATGTTCCTGATATGGGGGGGGGTATAAAGGTTGGGGGATGTTCCTGATATGGGGGGGGGTATAAAGGTTGGGGGATGTTCCTGATATGGGGGGGGGTATAAAGGTTGGGGGATGTTCCTGATATGGGGGGGGGTATAAAGGTTGGGGGATGTTCCTGATATGGGGGGGGGTATAAAGGTTGGGGGATGTTCCTGATATGGGGGGGGGTATAAAGGTTGGGGGATGTTCCTGATATGGGGGGGGGTATAAAGGTTGGGGGATGTTCCTGATATGGGGGGGGGTATAAAGGTTGGGGGATGTTCCTGATATGGGGGGGGGTATAAAGGTTGGGGGATGTTCCTGATATGGGGGGGGGTATAAAGGTTGGGGGATGTTCCTGATATGGGGGGGGGTATAAAGGTTGGGGGATGTTCCTGATATGGGGGGGGGTATAAAGGTTGGGGGATGTTCCTGATATGGGGGGGGGTATAAAGGTTGGGGGATGTTCCTGATATGGGGGGGGGTATAAAGGTTGGGGGATGTTCCTGATATGGGGGGGGGTATAAAGGTTGGGGGATGTTCCTGATATGGGGGGGGGTATAAAGGTTGGGGGATGTTCCTGATATGGGGGGGGGTATAAAGGTTGGGGGATGTTCCTGATATGGGGGGGGGTATAAAGGTTGGGGGATGTTCCTGATATGGGGGGGGGTATAAAGGTTGGGGGATGTTCCTGATATGGGGGGGGGTATAAAGGTTGGGGGATGTTCCTGATATGGGGGGGGGTATAAAGGTTGGGGGATGTTCCTGATATGGGGGGGGGTATAAAGGTTGGGGGATGTTCCTGATATGGGGGGGGGTATAAAGGTTGGGGGATGTTCCTGATATGGGGGGGGGTATAAAGGTTGGGGGATGTTCCTGATATGGGGGGGGGTATAAAGGTTGGGGGATGTTCCTGATATGGGGGGGGGTATAAAGGTTGGGGGATGTTCCTGATATGGGGGGGGGTATAAAGGTTGGGGGATGTTCCTGATATGGGGGGGGGTATAAAGGTTGGGGGATGTTCCTGATATGGGGGGGGGTATAAAGGTTGGGGGATGTTCCTGATATGGGGGGGGGTATAAAGGTTGGGGGATGTTCCTGATATGGGGGGGGGTATAAAGGTTGGGGGATGTTCCTGATATGGGGGGGGGTATAAAGGTTGGGGGATGTTCCTGATATGGGGGGGGGTATAAAGGTTGGGGGATGTTCCTGATATGGGGGGGGGTATAAAGGTTGGGGGATGTTCCTGATATGGGGGGGGGTATAAAGGTTGGGGGATGTTCCTGATATGGGGGGGGGTATAAAGGTTGGGGGAAGTTCTTGACACTCATTAGAGCTGCAGAAGTGGATTGGAGAAGGTACAAAAGTCTGGAACGTTCTAGAAGGAGTCCGGCTATGACTGGCTCTGCCATGTCCGGGATCGATGGGATCCTTCACACGCTGTGTTTGTAGTTCTAATCAATACATCAATCTTAAAGTGAAACTTATTAATGGGTAACACAATCTCTGCGGCTCCGCTGGGGACATTATTTCAGAGCTCATCGTACCAACCCCATATTAATGGATTTGGGGAGGGGGAAGAGCAACTCTAATGGACATGCAAGGTGAGGCAACTCCATAATAATGGCCTTGGGGGAGGAGGGGACAACTCTTTCTTAATGGGCATTTAGAGAGGTACCACCCAGGGGCGTAACTAGAAATCACAGGGCCCCATAGCAAAATCTTGTATGGGGCCCTGTGATTTCTAGATATGCTAAGACCTGCCATCTCGATCGCTGGGCCCCGCCTCCTCCATCGCTGCCAACGACGGGCCCAGCCACCTCACCCCGAAGCTGCTGGTTGTCATTGACTCAGCAGCTGTGAGGAGGTACGCGCCGCTGCGCGTGTGAGTGGCGGCGTGTTTCTCCTCACAGCCGCCAAGTGACCGCCAGCAGCCTGAAATGCCATAGCGACCCAGGCGGGCACGCACGGCATCAGGGGGATGTCCTGGCCGGGGCCCCATAGCGGCCGCCTGGGTCGCTATGGTGATTGTTACGCCACTGGTACCAACATATTATTGGCCATGTGAGGGGGATGCAATTCCATATTAATGGTCATCTAAGGGGGGAGGGGGGTACCGACCACA